AGAAATAACTTTTGGCAGTTTTTGAAGAGTATGTTAAACTTAGTTTACCATATAAAAATATTAGCACAATATTTAGATTTATACAAAACCAGGGTTAAATTTCACACAGTTTAAATTCTGTAAAATGTGTTTGTGATTTAAATAAGTTATTACTGTTTTTCATGATTTTCTTAAAAATTAAAAATACATGAAAATATATGCATGTATATGTATATATACATGTATAATGATAATAGTGGACATCTTTTTAAAAGTTTAATTTTATGAAATTCTTGCAACGCTGCCGATCACAAGGACTTAATGTATTAACTAAGATTAAATTCCAGCTTCTTAACTAGCTTTAAGATCTTGAACTATTCAGGACAGCAGTGACTACTATTAATAGCCACTGTGGCTATTGAAATGTAAATTACTTAAAATTAAATAGGTTAAATATTTAGTTCTTCAGTTGCACTAACCACAGTTCAAGTGCTCAATAGTCACATATGGCCAGTGGCCACCATACTGGAGGTACAAATATAGAACATTTCTATAATCAGAGCGTTCCATTGATAGCACGGCCTTAGACATACGATTAAGCTAATTAGAAAATAATCTTTGGGTGCTGGATAATTTTTAAGTAAGAAACATATATTAGTTTTATGTCTGGATCTTTGTGTTGTAAAAGTCATTCATAGTATGTATTAATGTCATTAGTCTGTTTTTATTGATGTATAGTATAACTATATCACAAATTATTTATCTCTTTTACTGTTGATGGATACTTGGTCTCTTTCCAGCTTGAGGCTTTTATGAATAAAGCTGCTATACAAATTTGTACATGTCATGCAGTGAATATTTTCTGTGTAGAACTTTTGGGTCATGGGTAGATGTATTCAGCTTTAGCAGATACTGCCAAACAGTTTTTCAAGGTAGTTAAACCAGTTTACTTTCCCTCTGGCAGCATAATCTGATAGAATTTTATCCTAATTTTTTTTATGCTTGAAAGTCTTTTATTGATTTTTTTTTATGCTTGAAAGTCATTCTTCTCTGCAAAAAAGAGTTAGATAAAGTTGAAATTTGATTTAAATGAATTTCTGTGACCATAAGGATATATTAAAATTTATATTTTGCACTGAATTATCAGTAGTTATTAGTAGTATCCAACTGAGCAAAGTAACATTTGTTATAAATTTGAGAAAACAGTAATAAACATGAAAAGCATGATTGTATTGAGAAAACATTACTTGTAGAAATAATTAAGGTTTTTAAAAATTATTTTATGCACCTGTGGATAAATATTAATTATTACTAGAATGAGATAATATTCAGCATCACTTTGTTCTTACTTTTAATTTTTATGCTAAGTGCTAAGAAACTGTGCTCACAATAATTACACTAGAAGTATCACAATATCACTCAATTCTCTAAACATCTGAGTAATGTGTCAGAAATTAGGTAGCATTCCATCCCCAAAACTATTTTTAAGTGATCTATAGCTGACAACTGGATTATTTCCTCCTTCAACATTGTTGAAAGCAAAAAAAAAAAAAAAGGAAACCTCTAATTAGCAAAAGGATTTTTGCTAAGTCATCAGAATCACTCACATTTTCGACAGCTATACAAATATCTCTAACTATCCTTTTGTTTGCTGCCTTGGAAATTTTTTTTCCTCTGGGGGCAGCACGTCACTCAGACTGGAAGGGAGAGAAAAGGCAATTGTGTAAGAAAGGTGGGCAAGGAGAACAAGAGTCAGTCTTCACTTTTTCCAAGTACTTCAATTTTAGGGAAGTACACCTAGTAGTTGAGATTTTGGAAATGAATTCCTTTAAAACTATTTGTCTATGTAGTCCTTGGTGCACACTCCAGTTTGAAGGCTGCCGGGTTAGAGCAAGAATAAAAGGTTTGATGTGGCTATGAGCCATTATTGAGAGTTTGGACTTTCTTTTTGAACCTATTGAAGGGCTGGTGAAAGTCTGTGGATTAAGGACAGTGACATGATTAATGCTGCACTTTTGGGAATAAACAGAATGTCTGGATTCATCCATTCATTCAATAGCAAATGGACCATTATGTGTAGTGTGGGCTCCAAGATGAAAAAGATACAGCCTTCTTGGAGTTTACATTCTACTGCGCAAAGACAGAGAAATGAATATAAAAGCATAATGTCAGTTACTGATGGATGCCGTATAAAATATAAAACAGGGATGATTCTAGACAGTGTGGATACAAAGCCCCTGTCTCATAGTTTACATCTGAATGGGGAATTCTAGAAATAAATGAATAAAATGGCATGATTTCAGGTAGCGATATGTGGTATAAGAAAGTTAAGGGATATGTGTGAACATGAACAGCAAGGTTGGTTTTTATTTTTTTAAGGGTGGTCTGAAAGATGAGGAGATGACATTTTAGGAGATCTGGGCTTCCACCTGAATAAAATGATTAAGTATGCCATTTGAACATCTAACCATGTGAAAAGGGTTTCACCAATTAAAACAGGACTGTGAAAGCCAAGGGCAGAGCATGCTTGACATACACATGGAAAACAAGAAAGCCAGTTTGGCGGAAGCAGGTGACAAAGCAGAAGAAATGAAATTGGCAGATGTAGCAAGAATAGAATGCAAGAAGGCAGGATTAAGCATCCTTGGACTAGGCTGGTAGAGGAGGACGGTAAAATTATAAGAAAGGGAAGGACGATGGATAATAATGAGGGCTAATGTCTTTCTAAGGAATGTTAGAGTTACAGAATGAGAAGATGAGACAAACCCTAAGACATTGGGAATAAATATGGGTGGCAGCCTAGGTGGAGAGGAGGGAAAAATCGAAGGCAGCTCCCAGGCTCTGAAAATTGATAACTAGGAGATGGTGGTACCATCAATTACAATAAAGAAATGAAGACAAGCTGGGAAGAGAAAGTGGAAGATGATGGGTTTTGATTACATTGAGCATATCTGGATGTAGATGTTTAGTTGATATAGATCATATACTTCCTCTTGTCTCCGAAACGACAAAAGAGGAGGCCACTTTCACAAAGATTCAAGGGAAAAGCAAGGAGCTGTTCCTTTGGGAGTGAAAACTACTATGGGCAAAAGTGCTCACGTAATAGTGGGAAATCAAAAGCCCAGGGGAGTGGAGAAGAGGGATTTATTTGTAAATTCTTTTTTAAAAGGCAGTATAGCATAGTATTAGACAAGGGCTAAGGAGCTAGCCTGCCAGAGTTCAAATTCCTGCCCCGCCCTTTCCTAGCTGTGCAGCTTTGAGTCAAGATCTTCTGGCCTTAATTTCTTTATCTGAAAATTGTTAAAAATAGGATTTATCTGATAGGGCTGTTGTACAGGAGGAATTCTTAATCTGCAGTCCATGAAATTTCAGGGCATCCGTGAAACGTGTAAACATTTTAACCGTTATTTCTATTAATTTCTCGTGAAAAATCTTGTTTTATTCAATTATGGAAGACAGACAATAAACCATGGTAGTGTGGCTTCGTTTCCTATAGAAATTAGAGATACTTTCATACCACGGTAGTAGATATTTTGAAAAAAAATTCTTCCTTGTCATCACGACTTCAAAATTATGTTTATTAGAATTGCCGTTAGATAAGTTGGTAGATTGCATATGATTGCAAAATTTTTCCAGAGCCCTCGTGCCACATAGTTGGCCAAGTATTTCACAACGCTGTGCCTCTGGGTCAATCGTAACCCAGCTGTGAAGTCTGATTGTGTATACATTGGTTCCCACATCTACGTTGCTTTCCAGTATTCCCAAAATATGAATGTTTGTTGACCACCAGGTGAAAGGTGAATTGTTTTAATAATTTCAGTACTGGTATTTAATTATAATTGATTCCTTTGTAGCCCTAGGAATTTATGCATTTAGAAATACTATTTTAAGTCTGGGTCAATAGGCTTCGTCAGACTATCATGACACAGTAAGTATAGAACTAGAGGCAGAGGAATAGAAGGGAACATGTGAATCCTTGGAACAGCACTCGGCCCATATCGGATGTTCCGTAAACAGTCTGCTGCTATTGTTCTTAAAACGTGCAGAGCAGTAACTGAACTGTCCTATGCATTTCTGCATTCAAAGTGTCTAACATAATGCTCTGCACTTTGGCGCGCCAGGAATGCTGAGGGAATGAAAAATACTAAAGAATGAAGTGGTGTAGGCTGGCTTCCCAGGTGCCTGAAATGGGGCTGCAAGGGACAGATGATGCGAGGTTGCGGGCGGCTTCTGCGCATCCAGGGGGCTCCGGATTATGTTAGTGAGTTTAGGGGGCTCGGTATGTGACCCAAAACCGTGTCCCTAAAAATGTCCCAGTGGGATCGGAGGTTGCCACGGGCTACAGGCGCCAGGTCCTTGCTAATTCCTGAAAGCTCTCCTCCATCACCGCAGAAGGCAGTCAGGTCTGTCTCCAGCTCCAGGTGGAGCGCTGGGTGAACAGGACTCTCGCACGTTC